GAAAAACACCCTACTTAGTAAGTAGGTATTGATGCTGTGTTAATATTAAGTTTAGTGGAAAAAATTAAAAGTGATAAAAGGGAGTAAAACTGAACCAAAGTCAGAAGAACAGATACTGTCTTGGGCTAATCCAAATGTAACCATTAAAGTTGAATTGTGGGAGACAACGGAGGATAACTCCAGTGTAATAAAGATGTGATATCAAGGTGGACAAGGTCTAAGGTTCCCGGGCTCTGAAAAGACAGTAACTACTAACATTTCAGTTTATATTTTCAGGGTGTCCATAAAGTTCATGCGCAATTTATTACGTTAAACTATTTGAAATTGCAGACAAAGTTTATGTCCACCCTGTATTTTCCTTTATGTCTTTTTATGCTTAAAAAATGCATACAAAGTGAACCATGATTATTTGGATCAGCATGAATAATACAAAGATTGATATAATTATGAATATGTTCCTCGGGAGTTATGTGTCCATATTGGCCTAAATAGAAAAATAAATACCAAAGATTTTCTTTCTCCAAAGTAGACAATGATTTATCTCCAAGCTTTGTCTTTAAAATATTTCCCTTCCTAATTTGGAGAGCTGGAACTCTTCACCCATTTTTCTTTTCCCTCTCAGAGAACACATTTTCTTTTTTGTATAAGAGGTAAAAACCTTCATTGACCACCCAGGATGTCCATCAGCAAATAAGCTGTCTAAATTCCTAATGTCCAGTTTTTCAATTAAAGATACTAACTTAAAAAATGAAAGCATAAACTATTTGTAAACCTTATCTTTTTCCATTTCCATCCAACGTATCCATTTTGGATTCACTGTTTTGCTGTAAGACACAAAATACTCAAAGGAAACTGAAAATAAAACGGTGTACCTACCTCGTGGTATTTTTTAGTTACTTTGCTTGGGACACACTGACATTCATTGCAATTGTGGAGACAACAGGCACAGTTTCCACCACAGCGTTTAACCAGGAGACAACCTGGCCAGAAAATGGTATCGGTTCTCTTTAGTTCTTCCCTTATGGACACCGAGAAGTTACGAGGCGTGCAGCTGTATAATCTTACCTCCTCTTTCAGAAGGTTCAGATCCACCACTACATGGCATAAAAGAAAGCAAAGAAAAATAGATGTTCATGCTTTGAGCTTGAATGTTTCATTAAGCTCTTTTAATAAAGCAATCTTATGCTATTTCATGAACAATACCCCGAACAATACCCCGTCTAATTTTAACTAGCTTTTAGGGCTATATAATTCACAAATTGGACTTTCCATTTCATAGTAAACAAAACTTCATTATGACTTAGTGTCCAATAAGAGCAGCCATTGTGCAATATAAGAACAGAGCCAACAAAATAGTTGAGAGCTATAAATAGGAAACTATAGAGAGAAAAGGTCTACACTTTTTAACCTCAGTTAAAAAAAAGAAAAAAGGACCAACAAGGAGAACAGGGAGGGGAAAAGAACAGAATGCAAAATGATGAAGGTTTAAACTAAAAAAACCTGCAATTCCCCAAAGGATTACGGGCTCATACAGTTAATGAAGGATAACTTATTGCAACTTGTCAATAGAACTTTCTCTAATCTGCCTGGCAGTAAGAATCACAAAATACAAAAAGAGAATGAAGATCATATATTTCTGAAGAGAGCTTGATTGCTTGCTATGAGTGAAAAAACTGATATATTTCTTTAAGTGTAGACGTTGTTGGAGAACACTGCTTCAAATGGACTCAACAATTTATCATCCTGGAAATTTAAAATAACTAGGCTCCTTCAGATTTCTACCCTCCCCCTGCTAAAAGACAGAAGAAATGTCTAACGTATAACTATTGTCTGTCTTCTTTTAGCAAGTTGTTTAACTATGTCGTGCTTTATTCTTTGAAAGAATCTGTACTTGTGAAGACCAAACAAAATATCCTTTCATCAGATTAGTGCTGCAGCTCCTCAAAGAACCATTGTTTTCTGACTACAAAACGATACCGCCTCCGAAAAATTACATCAACATGGATGTCAGTTCTCTATGAATTTATACATAACACAGTATGGGGACAAACACTTGTAATAGAATTCTAATTTATGATTATAAGCTTTACCTATTTTTCCCCTAGAAATATGCAAATAGCGCAATTCCAATACAACTGACTAGTTTCAGATAATATATATTCCTTTAGGGTTTTGTTTTTTACAGAAATAGAAGTACTTTTTTTAAACTTAGGAATATTACAGAAAATACAAAGGTTAAATACCTTTTTGCTAACACTGGGGACATTACAAACATGAGTTGGAAGAAAAGAAATTATTTTCTGGTTCAAGCTGACTTCAAATAGTAATAATCACTATACATGTATAATTCTGTTTTAAAAACAAGTGCTAATTATTAAAATAAGTTTAAAATGGCAAGGTAATAAAGAATCAAATGCTTAGTATCTTGAATTCATTGTACTTATATACGTGATCAAGTATTTCTAATTGTCAAAGGGAGCTTATTTTAATAATTATAAAGTTATAGATATGTAATTTTAAATTGAAAACATATAAAAACAAGATGATTGACTAAAGCTTAGGTCACATGTAGTAAAGCACCAAAAAAATGCTAATTCCATGGATCCATTTCAACACCTTACTCAGCTAAAAAGTATTTTAGGAAATCAATAGAAAATCATTGTTTTGAGTACTTAAAGTTTTTTTTTGTATCTGACAATGATACTATTTAAGAATAAATGTGTCCATTCTTTTACTTTTTGAAGAGATCAACCTATCACTAATAAAGTTAATGAGATCGTTGGGTTCAAGGATGCCTCATATTAGACCTGAATTCATTTTGCTAATAGTATAGGCACACATTTCTCTTTTGTTCCTAAAGCTCTATATGAGTTTATCTGAATCTTTTCTCTATGAGTTAATATCTGGGGAAGGAAGGAGAATACTTAGAAACAGGCAGAAACACAAAAGCTGGTTGCCAAAATTTTCAGTGCTTAGGTTAAGATTTATACTACATTAGAATGGGAAGAATATGCTCTTAGCTGTCAAAACACATTGATCTACCTCCAATCGTTTTAAACACCCTATTTTATGATAGTAGTAACGAGACTGTATATGTTCCCTTTAAAATATTTCCTTCACCACAATACAAGGTTAGGCAGATTTCCCAAGTGAACTAAGTTATGATACCTGCCACAATATGAAAATCTAAACACTCTTTCAACTGTGCTGCGACTCATTTATCATGTCTGGCACAAAAGGCAAAAGGCCTTTATAAGGACCAGCTCAATGTGACTTGGAAAATACGGTGTGTTTTGTTTTGCTTTTGCAGAAACAAGGAATAAATGAAAATCCTGAAACCAAAGGAAGAAAGGAAAAGAAAAGAAACAGAAAAGCATTAATGCAGTGAAGAGTGGACAAACAACATAATTAAGGGTTTTAAATTTGGCCTGTCACATTTAAGATTTATGCTGCCTACTCCTAAGGCTCCTAACTCATATAAGCTTCATTAAAATAAGTCCTAGGACTACACATCTTGTGACATATATTCTCTACACACTGAGCAGAACTTTTAGGCAGGGAAAGCAGAGAAAATAAGAGAAAAAAAAAGAAGAAGAAGAAAGGCCCCAAAGCACGTTTTTTTTAATAGCTTTATTATAATATTAAAGATGTTTCCCTGCGCAAAATAACTGTAAAGTAAAACCTGGCCTTCAGATGATTTTCCTTGTCATAGTTACCAACTAAGACATTACGAGCACTACTTTGTTTTTCTAAGGAATGGAGATTTTGAGCACATCACCAAACAAAAATCATTATTTCTAAGTGTAAATTTAATCGATATTTTACTTTAACTAATAAGGATAATATTGACAAAAACATTACAGTCACATTTTACCTTGTTAGTTGTTCACTCTTTTAAGATATTCAGTCTAAAGCGATCATATTACCACAATGCAATCTGGGGGTGGTCTTTCTAAGATGAATGTGGTAACACTGTGATGTGTTTATTCCATGGAAAATCTATTTCGGTGTCTAATTAGAAGCTTTTAAAAGTTTTACTCCTGGTTCTTTTCTGGAAAGACTGAGAGGGAATTTGGTTTTGTCTATAGAGATGTTATCCCACACCTGCATTTTAGTTTATGTAAAGTTCCAAAAATATACACTGCTTTTTTCACACTTTCTGTATGCTTAAAAAGTTAGTAGTTTTGGCAAACTGTGAAGGGCTTCAATTCTGAAAGTGTTCAACGAATATTTGAAAAGGCTTGTTCACTGTTGGATGCTTTTAAATACATGCTAGTCCCTGGCCAAAGCTTTGACACAAGGCACAGAGATTCAGGCATGAAGGCATGGTGGGATGGGGGGGGAGGTTAGGCTCACGTCCAGAAACCAGCTGTCAAAAAACTAGATCTGAGCTTAGAACTTATTTCGCTCCTCCCGCCTCTTACAGATGGACATGACAATCCACTTCGCTAACAAGGGCTCTATTCATGGTGTTTCAGCTAGTCTTGCAGATCTTCATCTTCCTGTTCCTAATGGCAGGGGAGGGAAGTGCTGTTTGTAAGTTATTCATCAAGATCAAATCTTATAAATATGTAACAGCTTTCAGCATCTGGACAGGACTTGGCTGCCCATGCACTTGAGCACTGATTTCAAATGCCACCGAAAGGAAACCACGTTTGTTGGCACAGCACTAAGGTAGGGTGGGACAAGTCTGATCATGATCTGCTGAGACTAAAGCTCAGACCTCAAAAGGCTGCAGCTCTTGATGTGGGAAAGGGCAGGAATCAGGTTTCTTTCTGACAAGACTGAGAAGAACACGGCTGGTGCAATCTGCCCCGTTAATAGCTCAAATTAACCAAACGTTGTTCCCTCTACATAAATTCTCTAGACTGTTATTCTATTCTCTAAAGGGACCCTGGTAGATTTCCATGTTTCCGACAGATGGAACACATTTTTCAATGAATTATAATTATTCAATAATTTCTATTACATTTTCATTTGTGTCTGATAGAGACCTTTTACAATTCTAATGTTGCTCAAGATAACTATCTCAACTAACACATAATTGTCAATTTCTTGACTAGGTGAAATTAGGTTTAATTATCAGCACTTTCACTCTTGAAGGGAGATGTGCCCATATGGTTAAAAGTAATCATTTCAAAAGCAAATCTATACCGAGAAAACTTAATGTGGGTTAGGATCCTTCAGCCCACTGTTTCCTTGCCATGAATCCTACGTTGGAAACCATTAATTCTATTTTATGTTGGTTCATTGCTATTTGTCATCTTATTTAGAAACTTTCAGACTTAGAAAATGGAAATTAATATAGATGTCTCTAACTCATGGAGACATCGTAGATAAGGCTTTTTATACAGGGATCTCCTTTTGTAGCACAAGTCTGGTTTTGTAGATATAATGCTTTCTCTTGAATCTCAAAATCAGTATAATCCAAATATAGGTTTGAATAAACAAATGTTCTTGTAAAATGCAGTAGAAGACTTCATCCCCACTGAGTTGTAATGATATAATTAGGTGCCTGCTTTGGTATATATTCTGACTGAATACGTGAATATGCCCAAATAGTAAAAAAAGCTATTATTTAGATCAGGGGCCCTCAAAATTTTTAAACAGGGGGCCAGTTCACTGTCCCTCAGACTGTACTGCAGTCCCCGGGATGAGTTGGCTGCTAAGCAGGACAGGCAGCAGCAGCAAAAACACCTGGCGGGATGGATAAATGTCCTAGGCAGGCCACATGTGGCCCGTGGGCCCTAGTTTGAGGATGCCTGCTTTAGATATATCACTGAAGAATTTTAAACTCTCCCATTCGGAAGCTGTGGCATAAGAATCTAGAACACTAGCTGCAAATAAAATTAAATGAGGTTCTAATCTAAGGGGGAAGCTTACCTCTGGATTTTCTCCCAAAAACAAAAGCCTTGCCAAGAAGTTGCCAAGTCGGCCTATACAGATCTTCTAAGTCCAACTGCCATCTATCTGGTTCAAGATACCGAATAAGATCTTCCAAGGTACTGAAGGCGGTCACAGCATTATTAAGCAGGTCCAGTGGCAAAGCTGAAGGGGGTAACACTGAAGGACTCACAGCTTCTGTGAATTGCTGAAAGTAAAATGAACCCTACGTTAACTGTTTTAAAAATGACAATGTAGTCCTTCTGGACTTAAGGCAGGAAGTTTCAAAGACAGGGATGAAATGCAGGGAAGTGGAACTGCATTCAACCTAATTAGATGTAACTGGGGTTCAAGTGTACCTAGGGGTGTCCAACCTGCAGCCCCAAGGCTTCCCACAGACAACTTGAGGACTGCTTTGCTCAGCGGTGGTGTTGGGTTGCCCTTGCTCACCAGCTTTCATTAGTGTTTGTGTATTTACTATGTGGCTTAAGACAACTTTTATTCTTCTAATGTGCAAAAGAGAAGAAAAAAGGTTGGAAGAAAAAGGGACCAGGAACTCTGGTCGATTTTCGCCGAAATCACGAGGAAGACACTGGTTTTTCATTACCATAACCATGGTGGATATGGGTAGCTTTTTCTCAAGTAAACAGCTGGAAATATTTTCAGTTACAGACTTACAATGAAAATTATAATACAATTTACCAAATTTTTCTATTTGTTTCCCAATTTTCATTTTCTTCAGTCTGGAAAATCACGTGACTTAGGTGAATTAATAGAACACGACTTAAAAATTTATAGGAAATAAGATCTAGAACAAAACATAAGTTAAAAATCCTTTGATGGTGGAGAAGAATTTACTAATCTAGATAGAAAATACTTAAACCATAAAAGGTCAAATTGATGAATTTGCCTATAATATATATTTAATATAAACTACCTATGAAGACTAAGAGAGACACTGGGAGGACACTTTGACCAACTATAGAACTATCACAAAATTAGTGTCTAGAACATACAGGGAAAATAAAAAGACAACACAGTAGAACAAAATGGGCAACTTCCAGATAAGAAGGTGGAATGGTCAATAACATATGATAATAAGTCAAAATTTATTCCTTATTAGAAAACTGTAAAAGATAATGGGAAATTTTTTCCCATCTAAAAAAGGAGATACTGTATTTCCTATAGATGAGATTGGCAAGAACGGAAAAAAGGATTTTGGTGGGTGTGAGTAAATGGGAACTCCTCTTCTCCCCTTTCAGGGGTGTGTGTACACGGGCAAAGCCACTCGAACGACGTAACTGATGTGCCCTGGGCACTAGAGATCGACAGGTCTTACATCCCTCTGAAGTTTTCATCCTCTAACTGTGCACACGTAAATACATCCAACGCTAGTCACTGCAGCATTGTTTTAAACAGAGAAAGACTAGAAGCAACTAAATACTCACGTAGTGAGGAATAGATGAAAACACATGATAAACTTGAATGGCAAGCAACAAAATAAGATGGTAGTTTTACTGAAACTGAAAGTGGTAATACATACAGAGGCATCTTTTTAAACTCAGTAAGAGTCTCCCTTCCCCACTTTGTAACGTGGACTCAGGGTAAGGAACGGCAGATCAGGGGTGAAAGTGACATAAGCAAAATAAATACGTGAACAGATGTATATATTTAAATAAACATTTATTCAAGTAAGGAAAGGAAGATTACAAAATAAAAGATTTACGTTATTTGATGTTCCTTACAGCAATGTTTTAATAACAAAAAGCTGGGGGGAAAAATCTAAATTTACAATGGTGGAACAGTTAACTATATTGTACTGAAAAAATGGAATAGTGTATTCCCCTTAAACATGAAGTCCTCCAGGAGCCTTTATTAACAAGAGAAATGACAGACAACAAGCTATATAAATATAGCCTTAATGTACCACCATTCCCATATGTGTAAGTTGAAAGAAAGCAAAACATTCAAAAGTGCTTAAAATGTCCAGAGTTGCTTATCTACGGTTTAAATGAGAATGAGCGATTTTAATATTCTCCCTTACATGTATCCACATTTTCAACATTTTCTGTAATAAACATGGATCCCCTCTGAAAATGAGATAAAAACAAATACATTCATTTAAATGATAACACTGTCACATCAGCTCTCGCCGTTTTCATTCTCATTACTTGGATCCTGCGCTGGATACTAAAACCACGCACTATATATAGCAGCTTCTAACCTTATCTCCGGGCCTGCAATCATTCCTTTCTTTTTATTCGATGCTGCATAACCCTGGGTTAATCTACCCAAAATAAGATATCACCGAAGCTGGGATGAATTTGGACAAATGCCTGTGTGGTTTTTCATCTGGAGGATGAAAATCTAAATTCCTTACCCAGTCTTCAGGCCCTTTGCAATGTGACCTCTGCTCACCTTTCCATCTAATCCCCTGCTCATCAAAGACACGCACACTTTGTTCCCATCAGTCTAGTCTCTTCAGTAACCACAGCACACGTCATCCTCATCTCAGACTTTGCGCCTTTACCCATATTAAATGTGGCCCCCACTCCCGTATGAAAAACTTCCTCCATAAATCTATACCACTTATAAGGACCTTTAAAAACAAACAAACAAACAGTTCATTCACAAAAACTTGCACAATAACAGAACCAACTTTGCGTCACATCTCCCAGTTGTGCCAATTTGAAAAAGACTCTGTGGGCAGCTGTCTTGAGGAGCAGGAGCTGCCCTTTTTCTAGGCAGGCACAGCTTTTTCTGGGGTTCAGAGCTTTGTGGGTGCACAGCCCCCTTGCATATGGGAGGATATTTTTATGGAATATAGCCGGCAAAAATGAATGTGTCAGTCATGAGCCAAAAATAATTTAATTTTTTTAAATATGCCAAAACGTATGGAGTAATTACACTGTTCTGGGGCCTGTGTGGGCATCATGAGAGAAACTCCACGGAATGACCAGGTCAGGCCTTCAGGGGCCTTACACACTCTTCCAGAACCTCCACTCAGCTGCTATTCTCTTCATCTTTTTATTTTTAAAGTAAATTTTATTGTGGATATTTGAAGTTTCCAACATGATGGTAGAGATAGATAGACACATATGGAGTACACTGGTTACTCTTAAAGGCTTCATTTCAATAATGTCAAAGATCTGACTAAAATACTAGGACTAACATGTTTCCCAATTATCTTATGACGCTTTTGCTCTACCAATTAAATTGTTAAAGTCTGCAAGTAGAAACTAAATATTTTTACTTACTCTGTGTTTTTCCTAATTGTCCAAGAAACACAAAATTGTTGTAATAGAGGACGCAATGATGGTCCATAACTCCATGACAGATATAACTAAACCTTGGTCTAATAAAGATGTTCATATTTAGTTTAACCTATTTGATTAATAATGATTAAATTTATAATGTGAAAAGAGTAATGCAAATATTTGCAAACTTTAAAAACGTAAGCCTATATAGTGGAACCTCCTCTGTAAGGGATTGCTATAAACTGGTCAACAAAATGAACCTGGCCGACATACTGATACATGTGGTGCAGATCTGGTCTGTGAAAATGAGGTCAACTTAAGGAGGTGGTCAGTGTAGGGAGCTGTTAACTATAGAGGCTCTAGTGTATATAGATTGTATAAAGTGAAAATTAAGGGGTCTTATACTCAAAAAATAACTGAACATTACCAATAAATAGGATGATATAAAACAATTTAGAAGTTTCAAATCCACACACAGAAAATACATGATTGCTAGAACATTAATATGGAAGTATATATTATTTATTAAAATGTCACAGTGCAGATGAATACTTTGGGCACTATATAAAATTATTACTTAGGGTATTTTTAATTAGACCATTATCCAAGAATGAGTTGGTTTATTTTGCTTCCATGGAGTCTCATGGAGACTCCCTGAACAGAGCATTCCTTTTAAAGGAATAAAAAGTTCCAACTGAAACTAACATTGCTGAGATAAAGTGCAAAATATTAATACAAAAGAAAGCAAAACAAATTCAGCTTGGAATATTGGACAAACAATGTATATAAACCTTGGGCCCAGGGAAAAACTTGGATCCCCTCAAAAGATTGGAAGCCAGACATCCTGTCATGTTACTTCATGTATAGCTTGGTAGGTGTTACAAAACTCTTTACTTTTAAGTATTTAAATTACATTAAGATAAATTTTAAAATAAACAAGCCAAAAAAGATAACTGCATGCCAGTCTCCACCCAGGTGACAGGAAGGGAGAAGCAACACATTCTCTGTTCCTTGGATTCAAAGAATCAATCCCTGGACAGAACAGAGGAAGTGGTGGTTCTATTTAAGGGCCTTCTCATGACTGTTACCCACCCACTAGTTCAAGGAACAGCCCAGTTGTTCACTTCAAAGTTCTGCTTTTCTAAGTTGGCTAAAGGGATTCTCAGAGAGCAAGGGGGGAGCAATGGAAAAAAGAAGTTAGAGGAAACAAAAGTTCTCTAATTTTTTCACTTTTAATTTTCACTCTAACAAAATCCTCCTGTTCGGTACAGACAAATAGCATTTTCTCCTACATTTAGTACCTAGAAAATTCTAACAGTATCTTTGCTATGTAAAAATACTTATGATTGGGCTGTTATACTAAGCAGAATATGCAAAACGTGCCTTGGCTTGAACTGGATTTTCATATTCCCAACTTCGTAATTCTTTCATTCTTCATAGAAGTACATACAGTAGAACCTCTGTAAGTTGACCACCAAAGGGACTGTCACAAACTGGTCAACACACAGAGGTGGTCAACATAAGGAACTAAGCCTACGGTATTTACAGGTAGATGAGGGGCATGCCCCATCTGGGAAAATCAGGTCAACTTATGGAAGTGATCA